ACGAGTTTTTAGGGAACAAGACATATTTGCCATCGGAATCTAGAGCTAAATAGAACTCTCATCCTCGTTTGAATGTAAAATATATAAAAATATTTTTCATTTTAAAACTTCAAAGTCTCTGCAGTGAGACTTTCCGTTCGCTTAAGCCGACCTTATATGATTTTATCATTTTATTTTTTTCTTTCTTAGATTATACAAAACATTTAAAGATGACAAATACGTTTACATGTTGCTGGAGGTTTGCTTGGGAGGTGAACTTTGGACATTATTACGAGACAAGTATGAATCTAGCAGAAATCATGCTTCAAACTAAATAGTAGTATACTAATTAATACTATTGTCATTTTACTTAATTCCAGAAGCCAGTTTGATGACATGGCAGCACGTTTTTACGTTGCCTCCGTGGTGGAAGCATTTTCCTATCTTCATGGACGAGGAATCGTTTACAGGGACTTAAAGGTAGCCTAAATATAAGATTGCATTGTTATCTAGTATGCATATATCACTTCATTTTTTTATTCGGGGCAAATTGCCCACTTTGCCCCTCTTCTGGTCGCCCCTGATTTTTATTAGCCAAACCGGCCCTAATGTAATTTAATAATTTAACTAATTCTTTTAATTTTTAATTCTAGCCGGAAAACATGTTACTTGATAGTCATGGCTTCGCCAAACTGGTAAGATAGATAATCTCATGGCATGCAAGGATAGCCCTGTATCAGACATAACTCCAAATCCGTCCAGCGCTTGCTGTGTAAACTCAATTTTTGTTTCCTCTTGTGTCAGGTTGATTTTGGATTTGCGAAGAAAATTGGTTTTAGCAACAAAACGTGGACATTTTGCGGGACGCCAGAGTACGTTCCTCCTGAGATTATTTTGAACAAGGTAAGAACATGCAAGGAAACACTTTGTAGTCAATATATACAGCTCATTTTAATCCGATTTGTCCTCTGAAAGTTAAACCTTACAACCGCAAAAACCTTCGAGTTTAGGGTAAGAATTGGAGAGAATCGGCATTTGTAAACAGCGAGACTTACGCCAGTATTCTAAAAGCTCCCTCCTGTCCTTTCAAAATTAGAGCCGTTTCCTTATAGGAAACGCTTTTCCCATATTATTTTGGCAATCATATTTCTCGCATTTTCGCAGACTCGCACATGCGCTTGGCGTTTGACCGCGGTGTTACAATGCACTTTATTTCACGTAGCTATATTCATGTACGATTTTTATTCAGGGTCATGATTTTTCGGCTGATTATTGGTCACTTGGCATTCTCATTTTTGAATTGGTCACTGGAAAGTAGGTTTTTCCTTTTTTCTTATGAATTGTCGGTCTCACCGAGCATCATCGCCAGTAGCGAAATTTTCGGACTGTTTTGATAACTAGAATCTGATAAGTGTTTTCAATAAAAAATATCTGTACAATAAAAATTATCTGAGTGTATCTATCCAATGTTTATTGTTCTTCAGCCCTCCATTTACAAGCAATGATGCAATGAAGACATACAATATTATACTGCGTGGTATGGATGTTTTGGAGTTCCCGCGCAAAGTTAGTAAGAATGCGGGCAATCTCATCAGAAGGTTGTGTCGTGACAGCCCGACCGAGAGGCTTGGGTATCAGAAAGATGGCTTGCATGATATCAAAAAACATAAGTAAGTGTGCCGTGTATCTGTGGCCGTCGCGAAGAATCTTAAACTAAATTTTCAAGGGATTTTTAATATCTATACTACTACTACTACAATAGCTATACTACTACTGCAATATCTATACTACTACTACTACAATATCTATACTACTACTACAATATCTATACTACCACTACAATATCTATACTACAATATCTAAACTACAATATCTATACTACTACTACTACAATATCTAACTACTACTACAATATCTATACTATTACTACAATATCTATACAACTACTACAATATCAGTATACTATTACTACAATATCTATACAACTACTACAATATCTATACTACTACTACAATAATAGCTATATAACTACAATATCTATACTACAGTATTATAGCAGAAAGATGCTTCCCAACAATCCGAACCAATGTGTTTTCACAGTGTGTGTATCTATAAACAGTGACTTCAATTTCTTTTGCGATAGATGGTTTCAAGGATTTCATTGGCAAGGTCTTGTAGATCGCTCGATTCAACCACCATACAAACCCAAGGTACTGTATGATCATGATGATAATTACAGTTTTCCTGTTGATGGAGTTAACAGGGTGGGATAATTCGCACAGACCACACTGGTCATACTATATTCAGGAAATTTTCTAGCGGACTTGCGGTGAAGATTTCAAAGTCAGTTTGCATTTTGTACAGAACTGGACATTTTGTGTAAGATGTCCACTGACAATATACGACCCCACACTTGGGAGCAATTGAATGAGGGTGGGGAGGAAGTAATATGTAAGCAAATGTCGGTTGTTTTACAGTTTTTGGCCAAGATTGTAGCTATATTAG